CCCTGCTGTTGTCTTCTCTAGACTAAATAATCCCAGATCTTCCAACCTTTTTTTATAAATTGTTTTCTAGACCTCTAATAGTTTTTGCTGCTCCCTGCTGGACTCCTAATTTACCCATGCCTATTGGTGACACGTACGGGGAGAGATGAGATTGGCTGTGCACCCCCTGGAAATGCTAGCTGTGAAACCAGGATCAGCCGCTGGGGAACCCCTCCCCCCCCAGTAGGCGATCAACTGCTGGGGGAGTTCCCCACCCCCCGGTCAGTGATCTGGTGCCCCCCCAGACTCGGGAGACCATGCCCATGTCTTTCTTGAAGTACAGGGCCCAAAACTGACCACAGTATTCCAGGTAAAGCCTCACCAGTGTTGAATGAAACTTTTATCAAATTTGTAATTGCAGAGAAAGATGTCTGACAGGATTCATTTTCCAAGTGCCCAAGGCATTAATTATATTTTTCTCCTTCAAATCTTTATTAAATAAGCTTTTGCATGAGCCCTGACATTCTTTTGCCCAGAATCAACGTCCAGTTGACAGGCTTATAATTATCTGATTGTCCACTCTGACCTTTTAAAATATTGGTATACATTTAGCTTTCTTCCAGAAATTCTATATTGGCTCAGGTATATATTAAAATAGATTTGGAAATGTTCTTATTCTGCTAGAATGGCAGAAAGGGTTCACTGCCATAGGCGAACTACTGAAACACTGTCCAAAAACATTATCCCACCCACAAATGGTACATGGAGACACTTCACAAAACAGGCTCAGTCATCTCTTTGTTGCCTGGGGACTTATTCATGCTGGTGAATAGGGGTGTGTGGAGCGGGCAGTATTTGATTCAGATTTGGCCCAATTCAGGGGACAGTGATTCAATTAGCTGACTTGGATCACTGTCTCGATACGATTTGGCTAAATCTAAATCTGCAGATTTGATTCTGATTCAGAGAATCAGCTATTCGGCCATAGGCACAGCTTTATATATTTTTTCTACATACCTCAAGGTACCAGGTGTGGCTCATGAATACTGAGATGGTGTGGCGGATGGAGCATCCCACCAGTGTGGCGGACCCCCCCATGCGGCATCTGCTTCTGAGCGTACGGAGGGACCCCGGGTACCTCCCCAGACTCAGGAGGCATCAGTTGCCAAGCTGGGGGGTGGGGGAAGTCCCCTGTGTGCTTTGTGGTGGACCGGAAGTACTTCTGGTCCACTACTGGGTTTGCCACCAAGTGTGCAGGGGACCCCCCCGTGCTCCCGTGGGATCCTCCGTCTGCCCCATCGTCTCAGCATTCACGAGCCATGCCTGGTACCTCGAGCTATGTAGAAAAAACAAAAAGCTGTTTCTATGGCCAAATTGTCAAATCTCTCTGAATTGATTCAGGGGCTTCCGATTCAATTTGGAGAGATTAATGGGTCTCCTGATTTGATTTGGATTTGGAGATTCAGCCACTGAATCGGGCCAAATCTCCTCCGAATCAAGTCAGTGACTGAAGCTTCATACAGCGCTACTGGTGGACTCCTAAACTGTCAACACTCGGTAATTTTTGAGTTGCTTTACACTGGAGAACTAAAATTAAAAGAAACTGACATGAATTAAATACTTTTGACATGAGTGCAAAATAGTTTACGGCCTTATGAAAGAATACTTGTAGGTTTAGTCTTCCTATATGCTTTATATTCTGCACTTCATAAATATTTATTACAACAGAATTACTTGGTCTACTTGTACAACACACTTTCTTGCTGTCTGTCCAGGAACTGTGGTAAAAACTGTGCTGCCGCAGTCAGCTATGCCAGCTCATTAACCTACTGAAAAAATTCAAGAGAAACTGGAAATCTTGAAATATACTGTACCTGAGATTTTGAAAAGCAACAACAGCAGCTGTTATCATAATAGGGAAGAGGACAAATATGTAGGCATAAAAAAGAAATGTATCTGAGAGTCTTGAGAAAGTATTTAATGGCAGCAAACCAAAAGCTTCTTCACAGAGGTATAGGTTAGCATCAAAATCTCTAGAGAAAGAAGAGTAACAACCATCAGATTATAGATTTTAAATTGGTGGCTGCCTAGAAGACTCAGACTCTTTTTTTTTCACTCCAGTATAAAACAATATTTTTTCTTCTAATAATAATAACATTGGCAAATAGGAGGTAGAACTCATGTTATGCTGCTAAGATTTCAAATAAATGTTAAACTGTCAGCCTAAGTTTGACAATGAGCTGATACAATGAAGGAAAATTCATCTTGGTGCGCTGTGACCAGTGGGGTCCCACAAGGCTCTGCCCTAGGGCCTATACTGTTTAACATCTTCATCAGTGATGTGGACATTGGTGTCAGAAGCGGACTGGCCAAGTTCACCGATGACACCAAACTTTGGGGTAAAGCATCCACACATGAGGATAGGAGGGTGATCCAGGCGGATCTGGACAGACTCATGAAATGGGCGGATGAGAACTTGATGGTGGCTGGACTCGATGATCTTCCAAGGTCCCTTCCAGCCCTAATGTCTACGAAAAAAATCTATGAAAAAAACACTGAAAAATGCAAGGTCTTCCACCTTGGGAGGAAAAACCTGCACCATGCTTATAGGCTTGGTAGTGCTACGCTGGTTAGCACTACAGATGAAAGGGACTTGGGGGTCATGGTTGACCACAAGATGAACATGAGCCTTCAGTGTGATGCTGCGGCTAGTAAAGCGAGCAAAACGCTGGCTGGCATCCATAGATGCTTCTCAAGCAGATCCTGGGACGTCATTCTCCTGCTGTACTCGGCCTTGGTGAGGCCGCAGCTGGAGAACTGCGTCCAGTTTTGGACTCTACAATTATAAAAGGATGTGGAGAAGTTTAGGAGAGTGCAGAGGAGAGCCATGTGCATGATCAGAGGTCAGGAAAACAGACCTTATGATGAGAGGCTGAGAGCAATGGGGCTATTCAGCATGGAAAAGCACAGGCTTGGGGTGATCTGGTGACCACCTATAAGTTTATCAGGGGTGCTCATCAGGATCTGGGGGAACGTCTGCTCACCAGAGCCCCCCAGGGCATGACAAGATTGAACGGTCACAAGCTCCACTGTGAACGATTCAGGCTGGACATAAGAAAGAATTTCTTCACTGCCCGAGCCCCCAAGACTGCTGCCGGAGGCAGTTCAAGCACCCACTTTGAACGCCTTCAAGACGCATTTGGATGCTTATCTTGCTGGGATCCTATGATCCCTGCTGACTTCCTGCCCCTGGGGCAGGGGCTGGACTCGGTGATCCTCTGGGGTCCCTTCCAGCCCAAATGTCTATGAAATCTATGAAACTTTTAACAAAACATACCTCGTTGATCCAAATCCAAATTTTGCTTTCAAGAATTTAAATATATGTTCATCTGACTCAAGATTAAGAATTTTCTATGGAGAAGAAAAATAGTTAAAAGTTCTACTAGTAATTATAATGCAATATCTTTCCATATACAAAAAAAAACATTCTTTAAAAAAAAAAAAATCTTAAAGAATTGTAAGTTGTGTCACAATTTTAATTAGTTCTGGTCTTAAAGTGTAATTTTACTAGATAAGGTACTGTGCAATAAAGATGGCATGGTGCAATGTGTATCTTTGAATATTTCTTTGTCAGTTTACAAGTAAAAAAACCCTTTTATCTGAGAGCAGATCCGTCAAACAGCCTGTGATCTGAGTGTCAACCCAATTTTTCTTTTTAATTCATCATCGTTACTAATAAACTATACATACACATATATACATAGCATTACTAATAAACTAGACATCTTCAGCTATATATGTATGTAATCTCAATGATTTTCAATAATATCCTTTTATGTTCTGTGGAATATGCCAGGCATTTTTACACGCGACGGGTTTAGTCCCCTAAATTGAAATGATCTGTTTTTAACTGTGAGAATTAATAACCCACCGTTTCAATTTACGGGCTTCTGTTACTGTTACAGTGAGGGGCCTGATCCTTTTTCTTTTTTTGTGGAAACTGACTGTATTTCTTGTGGCCAGGCAGCAAGCTGCCAGTGAGTCAAACGGCCCAGTCCTTTCCTCCACAGCAGCAGCGCCCCCTGTGGCCACCTGGGTGGGCTGCTAGCAGGCTGGATACTGCCCTAGCTCAGGCTTGGAGAAGAGCTGGATCAGGCTGGGTGCTGCCTCTGAGCTAGGTCAGCATCCGCCCACTAGCTGCCTGCCCAGGCTGCCCTGGGGAGTGACGCCATTAAAAAAGAAGGACTGGGACTCCCCGCAGCTCACTCCCTGGCCATGAGAGAGGAGGGTAGGCTCCTCAAAAACAAAAGGATCAGGCCCCACTCCCACCCTTGTGGAGCCTGTCTATGCAAGCTGCTGCCAGGCCATGCAGCCTCTAAGCTGCTGGGGCCCCCAGTCCTTCCCTCTGCAGTGGTGCTGCCTCCCCTGGGGGCTGCCTGGGTGGGGTGCCAGCGAGCCCAGGGCTGCCCCACTTTGGAGGCAGCACCTGCTGGATCCAACTCTTACCTGAGCCTGCCTGGGAAGCAGCATCTGGAGGGTTTCCAATGGGCAGGCTCAGGGACGAGTTGGATCCACTGTGGAGTAAAGGACTGGGGGTCCCCCTCAGCTTGGGGCCTGTGTGGCCCAGTAGCAGCTAATGTGGGCAGGCTCCACTGGAAGGTAAAAAAAAAAAAGCAGCAAGGGACCTGATCCTTTTTTTTTTTTTTTTTGGCAGAGCCTGTCCACCTCTCCCGCAGCTGGGGGGCAGGCTTTGAGCTGTGGGGGGGCCCCAGTTTTTCCCTCCATAGCAGCAGCAGCCTCTGGGGCCACCCAGGTGGGTAATTAGTGGTTGGATGATGCCCTAGCTCAGAGGCAGCACCCAGTCCAATTCAACTCTTCCCCGAGCATGAACTGGGACAGCAT